CCTCACCTCAGATTGGGGGGGACTTGGGGGGTTTTGGGGTCACCCCTCACCTCAGACTGGGGGGACTTGGGGGTTCCCCCACTTTGGGGCGTGTCCCCAAAACAGGCTCGGTTTTGGGCTCCCCCCTCATCCTGAGCCCCCTGGAGTCGGGGGTGCTGGATTTGTGGGGAGGGGGGCGTTGAGGAGGAGTCAAAGATTTGGGGGTGCTGATTTTTTGAGTTGGGGGTGCTGGATTTGTGGGGAGGGGGGCGTTGAGGAGGAGTCAAAGATTTGGGGGTGCTGATTTTTTGAGTTGGGGGTGCTGGATTTGTGGGGAGGGGGGCTTTGAGGAGGGGTCAGAGATTTGGGGGTGCTGATTTTTGGGGTGTCCCCAGGACGCTGCTGGCCCTGGGCTGCCACGTGGGGATGGCGGACGAGAAGGCTGAGGAGAACCTGAAGAAGATCAAACTGCCCAAAACGTGGGTTTGGGGGGGCTGGGGGGGGGTCCCAGTTTGGGGGGGACTCTCTCTAGGGGATCCCAGTTTGAGGTCCCAGTTTGGGGTCCTTCAAAGGAAGTCCCAGTTTGGGGGTGTCCCAGTTTGGGGGTGTCCCAGTTTGGGGTCATCCCAGTTTGGAAAGTCGCAGTTTTGGGGTCCTGGAGGAGCTTCTGGGGGGGGTCCCCATGGGTTGGGGGGGTCACTCAGGTGTGTCCCCCCCCAATTCCCACCATGTCCAACAGGTCAAGGTTGGGTTGGGATCTCCCAGTTGGGTTGGGATGTCCCAGTTTGGAGACCACTGAGGAGCTTTGAGCTCCCCACATTTGGGGGGAGTTCTGGGGGTCCCGGGGTGGTCCCACAGGTGTGTCCCCCTCCCCAGGTACACCATGTCCGACAGGTGAAGGTTGGGTTGGGATGTCCCCGTTGGGTTGGGATCTCCCCGTTGTGTTGGGATGTCCCAGTTTGGAGACCACTGAGGAAGTTGGGTTGGGATCTCCCAGTTGGGTTGGGATCTCCCAGTTGGGTTGGGATCTCCCAGTTGGGTTGGGATCTCCCAGTTGGGTTGGGATCTCCCAGTTCCGTTGGGATCTCCCAGTTGGGTTGGGATCTCCCAGTTGGGTTGGGACATCCCAGTTGGGTTGGGATGTCCCAGTTTGGAGACCACTGAGGAGCTTTGAGCTCCCCACATTTGGGGGTAGTTCTGGGGGTCCTGGGGTGCCCTGTGGGGGTCCCACAGGTGTGTGCCCCTCCCCAGGTACACCATGTCCAACGGGTCATGGTTGAGTTGGGATCTCCCAGTTGTGTTGGGATCTCCCAGTTTGGAGACCACTGAGGAAGTTTGGTGTCCCTATGGGTGGGGGTAGTTCTGGGGGTCCCGGGGTGGTCGCACAGGTGTGTGCCCCCTCCCCAGCTACACCATGTCCAACAGGTCAATGTTGGGTTGGGATGTCCCCGTTGAGTTGGGATCTCCCAGTTGGGTTGGGATCTCCCAGTTGGTTTCGGATGTCCCAGTTTGGAGACCACTAAGGAGGTTTGGGGTCCCCACATTTGGGGGTAGTTCTGGGGGTCCCGGGGTGGTCCCACAGGTGTGTCCCCCCTCCCCATTCCCACCATGTCCAACAGGTCAAGGTTGGGTTGGAATGTCCCCGTTGGGTTGGGATCTCCCAGTTGGGTTGGGATCTCCCAGTTGGTTTGGGATGTCCCAGTTTGGAGACCATTGAGGAGCTTTGAGCTCCCCACATTTGGCAGTAGTTCTGGGGGTCCTGGGGTGCCCCGGGGTGGTCCCACAGGTGTGTGCCCCCCTCCCCAGGTACACCATGTCCAACGGGTCATGGTTGAGTTGGGATGTCCCCATTGAGTTGGGATCTCCCAGTTGCGTTGGGATGTCCCAGTTTGGAGACCACTGAGGAACTTTGAGCTCCCCACATTTGGGGGTGGTTCTGGGGGTCCCGGGGTGGTCCCACAGGTGTGTGCCCCCTCCCCAGGTACACCATGTCCAACAGGTCAAGGTTGGGTTGGGTTGGGATCTCCCAGTTGTGTTGGGATCTCCCAGTTGCGTTGGGATGTCCCAGTTTGGAGACCACTGAGGAAGTTTGGTGTCCCTATGGGTGGGGGTAGTTCTGGGGGTCCCGGGGTGGTCGCACAGGTGTGTGCCCCCTCCCCAGCTACACCATGTCCAACAGGTCAATGTTGGGTTGGGATGTCCCCGTTGAGTTGGGATCTCCCAGTTGGGTTGGGATCTCCCAGTTGGTTTCGGATGTCCCAGTTTGGAGACCACTAAGGAGGTTTGGGGTCCCCACATTTGGGGGTAGTTCTGGGGGTCCCGGGGTGGTCCCACAGGTGTGTCCCCCCTCCCCATTCCCACCATGTCCAACAGGTCAAGGTTGGGTTGGAATGTCCCCGTTGGGTTGGGATCTCCCAGTTGGGTTGGGATCTCCCAGTTGGTTTGGGATGTCCCAGTTTGGAGACCATTGAGGAGCTTTGAGCTCCCCACATTTGGCAGTAGTTCTGGGGGTCCTGGGGTGCCCCGGGGTGGTCCCACAGGTGTGTGCCCCCCTCCCCAGGTACACCATGTCCAACGGGTCATGGTTGAGTTGGGATGTCCCCATTGAGTTGGGATCTCCCAGTTGCGTTGGGATGTCCCAGTTTGGAGACCACTGAGGAGCTTTGAGCTCCCCACATTTGGGGGTAGTTCTGGGGGTCCTGGGGTGCCCTGTGGGGGTCCCACAGGTGTGTGCCCCTCCCCAGGTACACCATGTCCAACGGGTCATGGTTGAGTTGGGATCTCCCAGTTGTGTTGGGATCTCCCAGTTGCGTTGGGATGTCCCAGTTTGGAGACCACTGAGGAAGTTTGGTGTCCCTATGGGTGGGGGTAGTTCTGGGGGTCCCGGGGTGGTCCCACAGGTGTGTGTGCCCCCTCCCCAGGTACACCATGTCCAACAGGTCAAGGTTGGGTTGGGTTGGGATCTCCCAGTTGTGTTGGGATCTCCCAGTTTGGAGACCACTGAGGAAGTTTGGTGTCCCCATGGGTGGGGGTAGTTCTGGGGGTCCCGGGGTGGTCCCACAGGTGTGTGCCCCCTCCCCATTCCCACCATGTCCAACAGGTCAAGGTTGGGTTGGGTTGGGATCTCCCCATTGGGTTGGGATCTCCCAGTTGCGTTGGGATCTCCCAGTTTGGAGACCACTGAGGAAGTTTGGTGTCCCCATGGGTGGGGGTAGTTCAGGGGGTCCCGGGGTGCCCCGTGGGGGTCCCACAGGTGTGTGTGCCCCCCCCCCAGGTACACCATGTCCAACGGGTACAAGCCGGCGCCGCTGGACCTGTCGCACGTGCGGCTGACGCCGGCGCAGCTGACGCTGGTCGATCGCCTGGCCGAGAACGGCCACAACGTCTGGGCCCGGGACAGGGTGCAGCAGGGCTGGACCTACAGCACCACCCAGGTGGGGACCCTGGGGACCCTCTGGGGACCCTCTGGGGACCTCACCGAGGGACCCCCGCCCACCCCTGACACCCCCAAAAACCCCTCTGTGTCCCTGTGGTGTCACGGCCCTGCGTCCCCACGGCCGTGTCCCCGTGTCCCTGAGCCCGGTGTCCCTCTGTCCCTACGCCTGGGGGGCTGTCCCCATGTCCCCATGGCCCCGAGGCAGGTGTCCCCATGTCCCCACACCTCTGGGGGTGTCCCCATGTCCCCATGACCACAAGCCAGGTGTCACCACATCCCCACACCTCTGGGGGTGTCCCCATGTCCCCATGACCACAAGCCAAGTGTCCCCATGTCCCCACGGCCCCGAGGCAGGTGTCCCCATGTCCCCACACCTGTGGGGGTGTCCCCATACCCTGAGCCAGGTGTCCCCATGTCCCCATGACCACAAGCCAGGTGTCCCCATGTCCCCACGGCCCCGAGACAGGCCCATTGCTGTGTCCCCAAGTCCCCCATCCCTAAGCCCGCTGTTCCCATGTCCCCATGGCTGTGTCCCCATGGCTGTGTCCCCTTGTCCCCATGCCTGTGTCCCCGTGTCCCCATGCCTGTGTCCCCGTGTCCCCACGCCCCGAGCCCGCCATCCCCGTGTCCCCACACCCCGAGCCCGCTGTCCCCATGTCCCCACGGCTGTGTCCCCACGTCCCAAGCCCGCTGTCCCCATGTCCCCACGCCCCAAGCCCGCTGTCCCCGTGTCCCCAGGACATCAAGAACAAGCGGAACCCGCGGCTGGTCCCCTACAACCTGCTGGACGAGGGGACAAAGGCCACCAACCGCGAGAGCCTGTGCCAGGCCGTGCGGACCCTGCTGGGCTACGGCTACAACATCGAGCCCCCCGACCAGGAGACGCGTGAGTGGGGGGCTCAGGGCCGCTCTGGGGACAGCTGGGGACATTTGGGAGGCTTCCGAGGGACTTTGGGGACATTTGGGAGGCTTCCAAGGGACTTTGGGGACATTTGGGAGGCTTCCGAGGGACTTTGGGGACATTTGGGAGGTTTTGAAAGGACTTTCAGGACAGCCCAAACCTGTCCCCAAGCAGGACACGTGTGAGTGGGGGGCTAAGGGAGGGGGGCCAGGGGCACTCTGGGGACATTTGGGGACATTTGGGAGCTGGTGGTACCATTTGGGTGCCGTTTTTGGGGTCTCTGTGTCCCGTTTGGGGGTCCTGACCCCTCTGTCTCCCCCAGCCTCACACGGTGTCCCCTTGAGGGGTCCCAGCACCCCCTGGCCGCAGCTGTTGGTGCTGCTTGGGTGTCGGTTTTGGGGTTCCATGTCCCGTTTTTGGGGTGCTGGCCCCCCATTCCCCCCCAGCCTCACAGGGGGTGGTTCCCAGGGGGCCTGGCACCCCCTGGCCACGGCTGTTGGGGCTGCTTGGGTGTCGGTTTTGGGGTTCCATGTCCCGTTTTTGGGGTGCTGGCCCCCCATTCCCCCCCAGCCTCACAGGGGGTGGTTCCCAGGGGGCCTGGCACCCCCTGGCCACGGCTGTTGGGGCTGCTTGGGTGTCGGTTTTGGGGTTCCATGTCCCGTTTTTGGGGTGCTGACCCCCCATTCCCCCCCAGCCTCACAGGGTGTGGTTCCCAGGGGTCCTGGCACCCCCTGGCCACGGCTGTTGGTGCTGCTTGGGCATCGTTTTTGGGGTTCCATGTCCCATTTTTGGGCTCTGTGGGTGCCGTTTCTGGGTTCCGTGGCCCGTTTTTGGGGTTCCATGTCCCATTTTTGGGCTCTGTGGGTGCCGTTTCTGGGTTCCGTGTCCCGTTTTTGGGGTTCCATGTCCCATTTTTGGGGTTCCGTGTCCCATTTTTGGGCTATGTGGGTGCTGTTTTTGGGGTGCTGACCCTCTGTCCCCCCCAGCCTCGCAGGGAGTGCCCCCGGGGGGTCCCCGCGCCCCCCGCCCGCGGCTGTTCCGTGCCGAGCGGGGCTCTCTGGGTGCCGTTTTTGGGGCTCTCTGGGTGCTGTTTTTGGGGTGCTGCCCCCTCTGTCCCCCCCAGCCTCGCAGGGAGTGCCCCCGGGGGGTCCCCGCGCCCCCCGCCCGCGGCTGTTCCGGGTGGAGCGGGGCTCTCTGGGTGCCGTTTTTGGGGTTTCATGTCCCGTTTTTGGGATGTCAGGGTGCCGTTTTTGGGGTGCTGACCCCCCGTTCCCCCCCAGCCTCGCAGGGAGTGCCCCCGGGGGGTCCCCGCGCCCCCCGCCCGCGGCTGTTCCGGGTGGAGCGGGGCTCTCTGGGTGCCGTTTTTGGGGTTTCATGTCCCGTTTTTGGGATGTCAGGGTGCTGTTTTCGGGGTGCTGACCCCCGTTCCCCCCGAGCCTCGCAGGGAGTGCCCCCGGGGGGTCCCCGCGCCCCCCGCCCGCGGCTGTTCCGGGTGGAGCGGGGCTCTCTGGGTGCCGTTTTTGGGGTTTCATGTCCCGTTTTTGGGATGTCAGGGTGCTGTTTTCGGGGTGCTGACCCCCGTTCCCCCCGAGCCTCGCAGGGAGTGCCCCCGGGGGGTCCCCGCGCCCCCCGCCCGCGGCTGTTCCGGGTGGAGCGGGGCTCTCTGGGTGCCGTTTTTGGGATGTCAGGGTGCTGTTTTCGGGGTGCTGACCCCCGTTCCCCCCCAGCCTCGCAGGGAGTGCCCCCGGGGGGTCCCCGCGCCCCCCGCCCGCGGCTGTTCCGTGCCGAGCGGGGCTCTCTGGGTGCCGTTTTTGGGGCTCTCTGGGTGCCGTTTTTGGGGTTCCATGTCCCGTTTTCGGGGTGCTGACCCCTCTGTCCCCCCAGCCTCGCAGGGAGTGCCCCCGGGGGGTCCCCGCGCCCCCCGGCCGCGGCTGTTCCGTGCCGAGCGGGGCTCTCTGGGTGCCGTTTTTGGGGCTCTCTGTGTCCCGTTTTCGGGATTCTGACCCCCCGTTGCCCCCCAGCCTCGCAGGGAGTGCCCCC